TCACTAGTCTGGCTTCAATCTGTCTATGCAGGCTCTTCTTTCAGCCCTAACTTGGCTGGAGCTCATATGGCAGCAACGTCTGGGCCATCAACAACTGCCGTTTGCCGTGGTCCTGATTTGCACTCGTGCCCCATGTTTAAGTGATGAATAGAATGACAAAGCAGCATTTTTTGTGACGGGAACAATTTGCAGGGCTAGATATACTGGCGAACGTGCAGGAGGAGCTGTCCGGGTCCCTGGGGACCACTTTCAAATCTGCCATCAGTAACTCAAGCTTTTATCAGGAGCCAAACAGGAAACCCATCCCATTAAAAGGAGTCTTAATGAAAGAACAGGGCTTCACATTCTGCAGACACACTTTTGAAGGCTGCATTTCCACTTGAAGCCCATGCCAATCATTCAAGAGATCATGTATTGAGGATAGCCACGTTCAAGAATAAATATCCCCAAAAAAAAACCCTGTTTACTGCTCTGTAGATGTGTCTCTGATGTTATATGTTCACAGAAGAAACATTCTCTAAACATTAATTAAACTCAAGAGAATGCTGTGCATCACCATAATGTCTGAAGTGCTTTATTTATATGCACTTTATGTCCTGATTAAAGGAAGCCAAATTTGCTTCCTGGTTATGCTGTATGCTTGGAAAAAATATTTCCGTATTTTATCAAAATAGTAAATGCAGTCTTGCATTTTTGATTTTTGTTTGTTCCTTTTTAACAAAAACAATTCAACGTTTTCAACAATTTTGGTTGTTTTCTTTGTATCTTGGAGCAGATTTCTTTCAGGCACCATGAAATGAGAAATGTGAGAGCCAAGCAATTGACTTGCTAAACACTGTTGATAATCTTTCACGCCAGTTGCTGCGGCAATAAGGTTCTTAATTTCAGCTGCACTTGGTTAAGCCATGGACAGAAACGTGGCACATGGCGATTTAATTAGAGACGTGACTGGCCTTTCACACGAAACATGTCTTTCAATTGTGCTTGGGCCTCTAAACATTCTCCCTCTGTGCATCACCAATATTGTTGATGTGCACGGTTTAAAGGTGTTTGCCAGCCAAATTTGCTTGCTGATTTTAAGTCACACAGGGAACCAGAGATGCATTGTTTTGTTTTCATTTGTTGCCTTTTTTTGTATTCCCTTATATGCTGGGAGAGATGTAGCTGGGGCTACATGCTATGTTACGTTTTGTTACATATTAAAACATGGTGTCCCTAAACAGTAGTACTAAATAATCATTACTAATGAAAAATTGAGAGTTTTATGATCTCGTTTTATTCCAGGAAAGGCTTCTTAAAAGCATGAGAGGCTCTAGGCTGCACTGAATAGTTTGTTCATGGTACAAGTAAGTCAAGGAAGATTAATCAGAGGGGATCATACAGAGGAAACATATATATATATATATATATATAAATAACCATATTTATCAGTTGACTTAAATGGGAATCTTACTATGGTAGTCCTGGTGGAACATGAGTAAAGTTTTTGCAAGTGTTTTGCAAGTAGAGCAGTTAAATCTGTGTTCTCAGTGGATTTGTTTGATAACCCCATTCATTTCTTAGTTCTAACACTCTACATCTGCTACTATGTCATGAATGAATCCACAAAGGCAGGTTTAACTCACTATTGATCTTAATTACAATAATAGCTAAGTTAGGTAAAGCTAAGTTATGACCATGGCTGGTTAGTGTGCAGCGTTCATGCTGCATCATGTTTTTATTTTAATGGGTTCTCTTGCATGTAGTGCATTTTTTTTTAGCACTGTTTTTGCTTTTAACAATGTAGGTGTAGATCTGAGCCAAATTTAAATAGCTGATAATGCTAGCCAGCTACAATGTATGATGGGTAAAGCAAGTCTACCCATAAGATGTAAATGTTCAAGTTGCAGAACAAAAAAAAAAATTAACTTGCCTGATTTAAAGATATATTGTAAATATGTGACAAGATGTGTGAAGCCATTTCCCACGGGCTGATAGATTGAGACCTCTAGTTTAAGTCCATTTTCTGATGAAAGGTGAAACTTAACTTAGAAATATTTGGTAATGTGCTACTGTTGATGTACACTATGTGGACAAAAGTATTGGGACACGTACACTTTACACCGATAGGAGCTTTCATGACATCCTATTCAAAATCCATAGGCATTAATATGGAGTTGGTCCCTTTTTAGCGATAGTGGCTTCCGCTCTTCTGGGAAGCTTTCCACAAGATTTTGGAGTGTGTCTGTGGGAATTTTTACCCATTCATCCAGAAGAACATTTGTGAGGTCAGACACTGATGTTGGACGAGAGGGCCTTGCTAGCAATCTCCGTTCTAGTTCATCCCAAAGGTGTTTGATGGGGTTAAGGTCAGGACTCTGTGCAGGCCAGTCAAGTTTGTCCACAACAAACTCACCCAGCCATGCCTTTATGGACCTTGCTTTGTGCACTGGGGCTCAGTCATGCTGGAACAGAAAAGGGCCTTCCCCAAACTGTTCCCATAAAGTCGGAAGTGTATGATTGTTTGTCCAAAATGTCTTGGTCTGCTGAAGCATTAAGATGTCCTTTCACTGAAACTAAGGGGCCGAGGCCAACCCCTGAAAAACAACCCCATATCATTATCCCTCCTCCACCAAACTTTACAGTTGGCACAATGCAGTCAGGCAGGTAATGTTCTCCTGGCATTCACCAAACCCAGACATCAGACAGCCAAATAGAAAAGTGTGATTCATTAGTTCACAGAATGCATTTCCTCTGCTCCAGAGTCCAGTGGCGGCGTGCTTTACACCACTCCTCCCCCTGATGATTGGCATTGTGCATTTTGATCTTAGGCTTGTTTGTCGCTGCTCGGCCATGGAAACCCATTTGTGAAGCTCCTAACACACCATTCTTTTGCTGATGTTGCTTCCAGAGGCAGTTTGGAACTCATTAGTGAGTGATTCAACAGAGGATAGGCACTGTGCGCTGTAGCACTCACCAGCCTCACTCTGTGAGTTTTCTAAGGTCTACTGCTTCATGGTTAAGCTGTTGTAGGAGCTTCCATTTTACAGTAGTAGCACTTACAGTTGACTGGGGCAGATCTAGCAGGACAGAAATTTCGCAAACTGGAATCTTATGACAGTGCCATGTTTAAAGTCACTGAGCTCATCAATGTGACCCCTTCTATTGCCAGTGTTTGTCTATGGAGGCTGCAAGACTATGTGCTTAATTTTATCCACCTGTTAGCAACAGGTGTGGCTGAAACACCTCAACTCATTTAGTGTCCCAGTACTATTGTCTATACAGTGTCATGCACTCCTTGAACCAAACCCTGAAGTCCTCTCACCTCAGGCCCCGCTCCAAAAGCCAAGTAGTGATTGACTTAGTCCAGGTGCGGCGGTGCCAAATTCACTTTGCCAGTTGAAAGTGCCTTAATGCGTCTGTGCCACCTTTTGAAGAGAGTGTTGACTCTGAAGGTGGGTCAATAGCTTACATGCAAGGGTGCAGGAGGCAAGTCGGAATGACTTTTTCCTGGAAACAGCTGGCAGAAGTGCAACCCAGCCTGCTTAATGTTGAAATAATGGATGCTTCCCACAGAGCTCCAAGCCCTGGTCCCATCAGGACGCATTTTGTTACGAGAGAAGCACAGGTGCTTCATCATAACTGACTCTTCTATTCATAAGTGACCCTTGTATTATTAAAGGCCCTCATGACCCTTTTGTTTTTGTCAGGTCACTCTGAAAAGGGTGCCGGAGGCTCTGTAGAAGTAGCAGCATGACAAACTGTGGTACTTCCTAGAAAATCAGGGGTGATGGGGACAGATGCTTACCAGGGTTGTATTATGCCGTTCTGGGCACTAGAGTGGACGTATCTGACAGGTTACCGTTTCTTTTTCTGCGTGTGTGCTGCGAAGTCATGTCTAGGAAGAAGAAAAAAGAGAAACCACAGAGATAACTGTGAGTCAGCAACAGTGCTCTGCGTGTATAATAAAGTTTTGTTGGTGCTCTCCGTTATGTTGGTTAACGATATAGAAGATTTTGAATTGTACAAGTGTTTCAAGTGTTCAGAACTTTTAAGGAGCACAGCAACATTATTTCTACTCAAAGAAGCTCCACTCTATTTGAGTAACTCAGATTTTTGCTTCAGATTACGTTGTTTTGACGATATTGTAGTAGCTTTTTAATATCAAGTAAGCATCATGATTCTCAATAGTAAAGATTTTTGGCTCTATGAATAAGGCTTTTAAAGTAAAGTCACTATGTGAGCGCACATTGATTTCTGGCATCGGCCCGGAATTTTCATTTTTTTCTGGGATCTAGGACTTTCAACATAGGGTGACCGTAATACAGTATCCTTAAAAATGCCATCCCTACCAGAGCATTAACAGTAAGGCTGCGTCTCACAATTATTTTGTTAACTGTTTGTTAACAAAATAATTATGATTTGATTAATAGAGTGATCTAACTGTTTTTCAGTTTCTCTTTCTTTGCTGCCATCATCGTTTAAACCTCTATTGCACAATGTTGCCTCAGGGCAACAAACCCATTTTCCTCACTTTACGATAACATTATACATATTTAAAGTCAATGACAGGGTTACAATAAAGGGAAGAGTTTGAGTAAGTGAATGAAAAGCATGTACTTCGTCAAACTATCTCTTAGTGGGTACTTTTAACCCTCTTTTTCAACTTTCAGTACCACTTTTTTTGTTATGAGAATTTGCAGAAATATGTTTGTTGCCTAGAAGCAACATTGTGCGACAGTGGAATGGATTTGGCCAGCCACAAATCAGGTCTCACCACTACAGGGAACACAGCTCTATATCATTTTTTCCCAGGCAGCATACCTCAAAAGGACCGCTGCACAAGTGAATTGAATATTTATTCATTTTTAATTGCTCTCATATTGTGTGCAGTAGAGGGTTAAAGTTTTCTATGTATTATAACCAATTTCTTTTTTAATGGTAGACAAAAAAGCCATATTGGCCTAATTAACCCTACTTAACATTAACTTCCAGTCTCGTTCCTCTCTTCCTGTGTCCAGCTGCAGCGTGCTTTCCCTGCTCTGAGCTTTGAGGTCCATCTATTACACCCCTCCAGAAAGCTCTTGGCTAGGACGATAGCATGGCCATCAGCCTGCCTGCTGCGGACTAAGTATCAGGCTTGCTCGTCCAGAACCAGTGTCGCAGCCCATCTGAGTGGGGCGCTGCTGGAGGCCACGGCAGCTCTCGGGGCCCGCAGCAGCCTGCCCGGCATTGCTCTCAGCTCCACCAGCAAACCCATGCTGAAAGGTAAGTCCTGATACTGCAGTACAACTTTAACTCTTTTTTTTTTAATTTTGTTGTTGTTCTGAAAAGATACTGTGGTGCTACTTAGAACTCCTTACTTACTTTTTTGGACTTTGACCCGTATTAGTCAGTTCCGCTCGTCACTCAAAGCGTTCTGTAATCACTGCGCTCCATGTTTCCCACTCTCTCTGCATGTTCACTGCATATTCATCACTCTTGCTGGAATATGTTTATTTTATATATCTTGAACAGCAACACTGTTTGCAGTTCACTCTATGAATTATATAATCCGTGGCTATTGTTAAAAAATTTGTACACACACTTACCTTTGTTATGGATGGAAAGTAAACCAATTGCCAGAAATGTCTGTTGTACAAGCCCATAGTGTCAATCTGTCTCAGCATATTTGTATTTTTATCATTCAGCTGTGGGTAGGAAGCTTTCAGTTTGAGTAGAATGTAAGTCCCTAGGGAGCAGTGATGTTCTTTTCCCATTAAAGGACTGTTGTATCAATTCAGTTTGTCTACTTCTTTTCTTAAGCAAATGTGCCCATGTTAGTAAGGATGTTCCAGCGAAGTGTTTTTCCCGAAGTCCAAATCTGATGTTTGTGAGTTCATAGACAATAGAGCTGCACAGTGCCCAAATTTAGCTATGAATAAGTTTGTTAAAACCCATCCAGTTTTAGTCAGATAGAGGTGGTATTGCTCTGACTTAAGAAATAAAAGCTTTCCTTTTAGGTTTTTAAACAAAAAAAAAAAAAGCTTGTAATACGCAGGCTGCGGATCAAGTATGACGGGCTTAAAAAGAGCACAGTGTGGTAAAATTACCTTAACAAAACATTGGGATTACATTAGTTTAACATAGTCAATACAGATCTATCAAACAAATCTTAACCTAATAACAAGTCTGTGATTGTCTGTATACTTTTATTTCAGCAAGCATACTTAGGAACTGTGAATCAACACACCCTCCCACTTCTCACTATGTAACAGTGTGTGTTAGAGTTGTGAGAGGGAGTAAGTTCTGCTCAGCTCTAAATAATGAAAACAAACTAAAATGGCTTGAGATTCTTGAAGCTAAATTGCTCTTTATGTTTACCACAGAAGTGGTCAGTCAAGAGGTTGTTATAGGTCCACACAGCGAAATTAAAACAAGGACACAAAGGCCTGATCCCATTTCACCCCTTGCCCCTCATCTGCTGTCACTGTGGACTGGCGTGTCTGGCATGACATAGCATGACAGAGTAACCATACTAGTCTGGTAATGAAGTAATGTTCCATCTCGTGAATGAAGTCCCATCTCGTAGGGGAAGATTTCAACCTCTACCCCTTGTAACTCGTTCCAGGGGTGAATGTGACACTCGAAAACAAGGGATAGGGGTAAAGATAAGAAATGGGATTGGGCCAAAGTGTCATTGATGTGAAGCACCAGCGTGTAGTTTTGTTTTGTTTTTTGTTTTGTTTATTTGGTTTGTTTGTTGCCAGTGGATATTACATACCATAACATACCATAACATAGCTGACTTTTGTAGGTTGGGGTAGAACAGTGTTTTGTGGTTTTACTGATTCATCCGTAGCTGCTGTGATCAGCGCTTAGCTGTTAGTATTTTGTTTACATGATGATATTAATGTGATCTGTGGTTCAGGTTAGTGAAAATTGTGTTACTCGCTGTTCATTTTCCAATCGCAGACTCTCTCTTATGTGTCCTCCTGTTGATGCTGCAGCCTGTATGATTACAAATGATGAAATGAAAAATGATGAATCTGCTACCCTGAGCTCTCACAGGAACTCCAGAGTGACCCACAGCAGGACATACATTTATAAAACTAGTACTACAACTACTCCTAAAGAGGGATGAGGGAACAGGCAAGTTCCTCTCTAACCTTCAACTTTCATGCTGCCAGAAATTCAAACACACTCTAAACATTTTGGCCCTCTGCTTTGATTTGTGCTGAAAGGAAAGGCAGTAAAGGAGAAATGTTCTCCTCTTGATCATCATGCTTTAATTTGTTTGTCAGTGGTCACTCTTTCTCCTACCACTGACGTAAACTTCAGGTGCCCCCTCCAGCAGGCTGTATGCTGCTGTAAAGCGATCCTCCGCCAGGCTTAACAGCTTGTCCCCTGGCCTGGTGCCAGGTGACACAGTGTCTCTGATCAGAGCTGCATGGGTGAGTCAGTGGCCCCGGCATCCTGGGACTCCAAATATTCATTACAGGAGCATTCTTTCACTCTTGAACTGCGGGAAACACTTACCCTCCCCTGCCCATACGCAGCCCTGTCTCCTGATTGGCAGCATTTTTCAGCTCTGTCGCAAGACGATGGGCTGCAAATAACGTGTCACCAAAGCACATTCCCTAATAAACTGTTGCCAGTGGGTGGGTGTGACTGGTATATTATATTATTTTCTGTCCGTTTTGCCACACAGAATGTTTTTTTATTCTGTGCTTTGGGAACGAAACCGAGAGAGCAGTGCAGCATTCCAGCTTGTTTCTGATCTTGCGCAGATGGCTTTTGTTTGTTTTAGGAGATTCACCCATCGGCCGTTGATACTGCCCGTTTTGCTTTGTCTTTTATTTTTTGCTATAACAGTGTGTAACACTCAATCTTTTCAGAAAAACATCTTGAAGTCTTGCTTAGCCTAATACCAATAGAATAGAATAGGGAACACAAACAACCTGCTTATCCCAAATGTAATTGATTAGCCAAGACATGTTTGACACTTTTTTTTTTAAATAACAGCATTTGATCTAATGTTAGGATCCACATAACCAACTTTCTACTACAATGTTGGTCCCTGTGTTGGGAATGATCCACCCCAAAATAATGTCTGATTAGCCATATACATATACTAGGCAAACGTCTTAGTAAAAAAGGCATCTAAGCAAATTATTTTAAACTATTTATCGATCAAACAAGAATTTTTGTTGACCTCTTTTGAGCTACATAGAAGAACAAAGCATGGCTCTCTCTTCTCCGCTATGCCTTCAGCATTACATGGATTTGTTAAATTCCACCAGAAGCTCACCTGAATTAATTTGATGAAGTATTGATCAGCTAAACCAGGTATTGGATTATAAATACAAATAATGCTGGACTGCCACAAGGCCAGGTTTGTAAATGGTTAAAGGAACATGCTGACATCACAACTTATTGTGTTAATGTTTAAGTTTATTCTTATATCAGTGTTTTTGGAACAAATAAATGCTGACTGCTGAGATATAAAGCTTTTTTTAATGTGAATCATAGACTTTTGCATAGTACCATAGACACACACACACACACACACACACACACACACACACAAACACATACATACACACACATGCTTGTATAATGTCCATAGAAAACACTGCCAATTGATTTGGACGCTCTACAGCAGTGAGCCTGACTTTTTCTGTGTTTTTGTATTATGGCATAACCCCTTTTTTAAGAATAATGCTATTTATTTTAAAAGAAATGTTTAAATAAATTCAATCGATTGAGTGTGTTATTCTATTATATATATATATATAATATATAATATATATATATATATAGGGTTTTTTTTCTCAAATACTGATTTCATTAAATCTGAACTGTAAAAGCTCACTACAACCAAGTTCCAAAAAAGTTGGGACAGTAAGTTAAATGCAGTTAAAAACAGAAAATATTGATTTGTATCTGCTTGTTACAGATATTTAATTGAAAGTGGTACAAAGACGAGATATTTTAATATTTTACCTTAACAACGTCATTGATTTTTGTAGATATGTGCTAATTACACATTTGATGTCTGGAGTGCATTCCAAAAAAGTTGGAAAAGCTCCAAAAAGTCTCCCATTGAAAAAGCGTGGTGTATTATGAAGGGCAATATATGACAGTGGAGACACCAGATTGTTGAGCAACTGAATTGTTTAATTGTTTTTAATCAGACGATTAAAAACATTGTCGTCAAATTACACTTTTACAACTACAAGAACTGGTGTCCCCAGTTCCTAACTAATTATTCAGCATTGCTAAAAGGAAAGGTAGTGTAACACATTGGTAAGCATGCACCTGTACCAACCTTTTTGTAACATGTTACAGGCATCAAATTAAGAATAAGCGTGTACATACAAAGAAAAAAAAACAGTTCCAGAAAAAGTTGAGACAGTGACAAATAAAAAACAGAAACCAGTGGTTTATGAATCTACATTGACATATATTTGAACAAAAACAGTACAAAGATAAGATATGTAACATTTTATCTTATCAGCTACATTATTTTTTGTAAACATATACTTATCAGAAAATTAATTCCTGCAACATGTTCCAAAAAAGTTTAGACAAGGGCATTTCAAGACTAAAAACACATGTGATGCAATTATGCTTGGCCATAAAAGGAGCATCCAGGAAAGGCCTAGTCCTTTATGTGCAAGGATGGGTCACGGCTCGCGACTTTGCCAAAAAGTGTTTATCATCAAAACATTCAGGGAATCTGGAGAAATGTATAAAGGAAAAGTATTTTGTTTTGGAGTTTGTATTTTAAAAATATATATAAAGGTGTAAAATGATAAAAGCTGATTATTAAAAACAAAAAGATTTACACCAGCAAGTTTTTCACCAGCTGTCTGTCTGCACTTAATCAGAATACAATAAAATATATATAGATCAGTGGCTTTAAGGTAATGTTAAAGTTCAAAATTTGCTTGTATAAGTTCATATAAATAACCATTAAATTGTAGTGGTACATAAAACTGGGGTTGCTGAGAACGATTGACCTTGTTTTGCATGTTTTGCTAGCTTAGAGAAGTTCGTGTCTGTTAATGAGAATCAATATTTTGGTATATAGATTAGAAAACGTCTTTTCAATGGAAAAATAAATATTTTTATATAAAAAAATATATAAAGATTAAATTTAATCAGTTAAAACAAACAGATTATCATGACTAAATAAGCAAAGACAATCTTAAAAAAATAAAGCTCAAATAATAGAGATACCAGCAATAAAATATGTAATGAAAACAAATAAAGTAAATAAACTG